TTTGCGGGATTTGCATTTGGTTTGCGGGATTTGCATTTGTGTTGTGGGATTTGCATTTGTGGTGAGCCTTCTGCGCCACCGTATTGATCCCAGCATCATTTACCACATTACCAATATTTTATTCTCTTCATATACTGAGTGAAACAATGCGAATGGCCATGTCTGCTGTCACTGCAATACGTACAAAATGTACATGATTAGGCCTTTTGCTTTACAGCACTGAGCATCACGTGAGCAGAGCGCATGCAGCACATGTTTAAATAATATCCGGACAACCAAAACTCTTGAGGGACAACCATATGCTACTCCTTGGTTGTCCTCCGGACAACCCAAAAAAACCTTAAAATTGAGCACTGTTCACCCATTCGAGTTGTTACCTGCTTAAATTAATAAGTCACTATTATTGCAGCTGTTTGGTAGGTTATGATATAAATTAGTTGAAGTGTACATGTATTTGTTATGTTGCTTATATTTAATATTTAAAAATTGTTTATTTTGTAGTAATAAGTAAATTATTATGTAATTTATTTTATCAGGAAAGACATTGTCTTTTGTCATCCCAATAGTGCAGGAATTGCAGTCGGTCCGACCAAAGCTTCAACGATCTGATGGAGTTCATGCCATAGTTCTGGTTCCAACAAGAGAGGTTTGATAGTGAATATTCACTGTTCATAGTATTGCTAATAAGGTGTCAGTAGTAACTTGTTATAACTGTAGCTGAATATATTTTTTAGTATTAAAGTAATTATACCAAACAGTTTTCCTAACCATTCTCGTATTTTTCATACCACTACAATACTTACTAGTGTTGCTTGTGTATTAGCAAGTGTATGATGTAAAGCTAACATGTCTTAGAACCCTCGTACATTGTTATTTTCACATAAATGTACAACGATTGAAATCTGTTTGTTTACATCGTGTTGAGCAAGGAAAAATTGCTACGTTTAGAAGTTGATAGTTGACATGTCTGATGTGTGGTGTTTTATTTCCAGTTGGCTCTTCAATGCTTGGAAGTGTTTCAATCCTTAGTGAAGGTGAGTGAAATTCACGTAATACACACACAAGCATACGAAATTTCTACCACTAGATAGCAGCACCAGGTCGAACAGGTGCAGATTTTCATTTGATATAAAAACAATTGTGAATAAAACTTTACTGATAGAATGGTGAATATTTAGATACGAGTGTTTACGGTATAAGAGTAGCAAACATTTAGCTAGAATACAAAGTGACATATTTTTGCATTTAATAGTAATACATGTCTAAAATGTTAGCTGTATTGCTCATTGCATGTGTCCTCAGCCATAACTAATGGATTTGAGTATATTATAATCTTAGTTGTATAATTATCACAGTTATTTTAGCTTATGTGTCAGATAAATTGTGTATTGTAATTTTGTTTTAATTTTGTTGTAATTTAAAAATTAAATTCAAAATTGATGGGAGATGCCAAAATGTAGTTATTAAGGTGCTTCCAATAAGAATATAGTGCTTTTCTGACATTCTGTGATTAACATTTAAACAAAATATTTCTAAATTTAATATTCTTTTATTTGATGGATAAAACGGCATAGAGCAGAAAGAGCACAGTTCAAGCTTTCCTGTTAAATTCTCTCGAACCTGAACGGGGTTAAATTCGTGATGACGTTTAATAACATCCTGAAAACCGGCACGCAGTCCTGTGATTACTCTGCGTGTTATAGCTCATTGTCGGCACAGGCTTTTCTGAAGGCATGCAGTTGCGATGAGAATAGGGATAAGAAAAATCTCAGAGCTGGTAATAGCAGTTGTATTTTCATAATTACACTGTCATTACAGTTGCCTTGCCCTTCAGTTCACTCGTGAGCGCCTCTTTGAGTGCACCGTGCAATTTTCTCAGGCACTGCCCTATAACAACCCCCCCCCCCACACTTTGCTGTTGGCAGTGAAAAATATGTCTTAAGGCATTTCCACTAGAGAAATGTGAATATATTGGACTATGTGCCACATTGACCATAGGTAGCGAGGATTCAGAGTGTGTGAACACATTGATGTGAGCATATAATAGTAATGATGGGCAGTGTACGTTTTACACAAGTTTTTGGAAGAATCTGTATCCATAGAAGTATTGCACCTACTCAGAAATAGATATGTGTGCAGACCCAGATTTTAAGCATTGATATAATCAGTACCATATTGAATGTGAACGTTCAACCATGGTTAGTATTCAGGACTAGTATAATCGTTTTTATTATTTAATTATCTGGTCCATGTCATCCTAGTTTTACTAATCGATTCATGCACAACAATACTATATACTGAGTGAGTTGCTTCTATACTGTAATCACTGATTCAATGAGAACACAAAATTACATAAATATTTATATGCATACATCTACGTTTGTCCATCTAATATTGTTCATAATGGGTCTGACACCATAAAAAAAAGTTTTCAGGTCCAGTAGGGTATCATCAGTATGGTTAGTGACTCCTTCCAACCAACCTTTCTTGTTAATTGAATCTGGATTATAATCCTGTATAGCAGTAGTGCGATCTATGCAGTAATTGTATGGTATGAGCGCATGAAGCTTTGTGTACACGTATCAATTATTACTTGTTGCGAATGCCTCTGCGAAAGGTTAGTGTTTGGGTACATATATTGATAGCTAGTAAATCACCAATGGTTATTAATATTAGTACTTTGAAAAAGCTTATAGCTGATTACCTATAGGTGTTATAGTATCTATTAGTACCAACAAGCATGTCATTATGCATTCAGCAATAGAGTCATGTCCTTTTATAGACCCTGTTAACACCTGCTTTGGGTTTGGTAAAGTTGTTGTCTACTTAAGTAAAGCTACAAAAACGCCAGCACGCGATATGTACAAATTAAATTTTCAGTGCTTTTAACTTTCCTGGTACAATCCATACATATGTGTTACATAAACGCAGCATTTATATACAGTGTCTCAAAATCTTAAAACCCATCACTGGAATTCCTCGGGTCTACAGAATGTGGTAATTTACTTCCTTTATGTATGTTTGCATCTAATAGAAATTTGCACATGGTGTGATTGGTTGGGAGACTTACTGATATTTATTAGTGTAGGTTAGTAAATTGAAAAGGTTGACATTGATATATACGTGTATATATATATATATATATATATATATATATATATA